TGTTCTAAATATCTCCAGTTCCTGAGCAGCATGGTTCTACTGCATCTGCAATGAAATTACCGCGCATCGGTGAGCTTCGTTCTAGGTATCATATATGGCGCCGTATACAAAATGGTTGTGGCGGACTCATAACCTGGCTCTCTGCCACTCGACACCAGCCGGACGGAGCACTCCGAACAGTCGGCAAGGAACACGGCTGTCAAGGGATGCCAGAGAGGAGAAACGGAACTTAGCCACAGAACGTCAATGGTCAAGCATCAAGAAATGACAGGAAGACCAGATCGCGCTCTTTTGGAATGGACCAACAACAAAATAAAATACACAATTAAAACATTGAAATTCTATTTATTTTTGGACATTTTTATCGTGAAGAACAATGCTTTCCTTAAATTGTTTTTGTGTAAAGTGTGTGACAATCCACATGGTTTGCAATGAAAATGTGACGGTAAACTTGGTATCGGTTATAAGAGATGGCGCCGTATGCGGGCTTATTAATTTTTTTTCATAAATAAGTAAAAAAGGTAATTTTTTTGTTTTGTTTTTTTTTGGATTTTTCCGATTTAGTATGTTAGGATAGACAAAGACAAATCCAATAAAGCAAAAATCATAAAAATCAGTCCAGCCGTTCTCGAGTTATAAGTGCTTCCACAAAACACAACTGTATTTTATATATATAGATTTAAGGATAATGACGGAAAGTAAGCTTTTCAGTGCAGAGCTCACTGCTTATTCGAGCGATACCCCAGAGCAGCAGCCTCTAGCGCCGAAACTCCTGTGAAGAGAAAGAAGCCAGAAACAATCTCGATTCCGGCGATCACACATGTGCACTTTTATGTGGAAATGGTGGCGAAAGCTTGCAAGAGCACAGAGCTGAGAGCTCCATACAACGCACGGACTCAATACCTGAAACCTGAAAAAGCAATCCAAAGAGGTCAGAAGGTCATCCCTCATCTAATCCCTGGATGGGTAGAAGCGACCTGGTATTGGTAGAATATTAAAACTGTCATATTTTGCTTCAAGGTCTTCAATTTCCTCACACCGTTCGTTTAGCCAATTTTCTTTACCTACCTACCCTGACTTTGTTTTTTATTTCGTGATTCAACTGACGATATGCTGGCTGGTCTTTTTGCAGGCGTCTTTTTTCCATCAAGTCGCCGATTTCATCAGTCATCTAAACTTTTTTTCTGACCCTAGTGTTACTTAATGATAATTTCGAGCTGACTCTAACAAAAGGCTTCCCTGATACGGGTCCATGCAGTCTTCACTTCTTGATTCTCTGCCCTGTTTATTACGCTTCTAAGTTGCTTCTGCATTTTCATGCATACTAGTTTTCTACGCTGATTTCTACAAGTTAATTACTCATCTTACCATGGATCATATCATTCTGTCACTATTGTAATCCGTACCTTCATCAAGTAATTCTATTTCTGCGACATTCCAATTGAATAATATATGTTGGGCGACCACATCCAGATGATAGCCACGTTGGTCTTCACTAAACTTTCCCCTTTAAAAATCAAATTACGTGTACGAGCGATTTAAAAAAAAAAATGAAAGTGGCATCAGCCTGTTTCGTTTTAGATGGTATACCCTGTATAAAAGTGTTCATGCTGTATTCAACATGCTGTCCAGTAATAATTCTTTTTCAATCTTCACCTTTTGGTAAGTTCATCTTTCACACATTTTTTGAAATCCGGCTCATAAGCTTTCTCTCGTTCAGTTTCGTAACTTTATGTTTTCATGTTGGATACGGCATGAGCAACCCTATGTTGAATACAGCATGAACACTTTTATATAACCATTAATGCTTAGGCATATCGTATGTAGCCATATTCTCCTTTACCATTTGGTAAGTTTTTTGATATATACAACCTTACTCTCCCTAACTCCCATATTTTATGTCTTGTAGAAATTATATTGATCTAGGATAGATCCGAAACATGTTCAACCCCCCTGTCAACTGATATATATTTTTTATAAAATAAAGAGTGAAGATAGACTTTGTGTTTTACTCCAGTTCATTAACAGAATTTTTCAAATTGGCTTCAATAAGGATGGCTAAATCTCCCTCGGCGGGTGGAATCGCGACGGATGGGTGTTATTTGATGTGGATGGGATGAGCCCGCCGATGTCGGCCGGCCGGTAATACGATCGGGTGATCTCACAGTCACCGAATCGTTCTATTTCTTGTAATGTTATCAACTAAATAAGTTTTTTTCTTGGTAACTTGATAGGCATTCCTAAGCGCGGTAGGTGGCTTGCGCCGCCCCTCGCAACCCTGCCGCCCCGAGACATGGCCCACATGGCCTTATATGGTACCTAAATACGCCACTGGTATTAAGCAAGTAAGTGTCAATCCTCCATTGTCTTTGTATGGCTCGGGTTAATGTCCATTAATAACTGTGCGGCGAAATTTGAACTTAGCACTTACAGTCCCGTGGCTCTCCAAAAATTGCAAAAGCTAACGCAAACTTTCGTGGAAATTATTTGGAAGTTCATGAAGACTGAGATAACATGCAGGACATTTGTGTCTTTGGAATTCTCTATTATGGGATTGTGGCATGTATTCTGACAGACGCCATGTGTAAAAGCTGAAGGCTTTTCAAATGTGAACATTTAGACGGATGTTAAAAATATCTTGGACGGCCAGATTGAGCAATGAAGATATGCTAACGAGAATGTGAAAAGATCTTGAAGTTATGCTTACGGTATGCTGGGAGATTTTTGGTCGTGGCGCCATTTAAGACTTGGATACAACGCTATGCAACACTTTGCTATACTAGCACTGATTGCTTAAAAAGCGAAAGTTAGAATACACATACTCATGATGATAAATAAATACCTTCTTCTCAAGCTCATAATCGAGGGAAAAATCGAAGGCAGAAGAGGCCCTAAACGTCGAAGAATATCTTGGCTAGAGAATTTGCGTCACTGGGATGGCGAAACCTTAACAATTCTATTCAGAAAAGCAGTCGACAAAGAACAGCTAGCGCTGATGATTACCAACGTTCGTACAAGACAAGGTGCTTGAAGAAAAGGCAAAATAATTCGAAAGCGATAGGACAACTATGCCATGCCACCGCTGCATGGAAGCAAAGAGATGGTATACACAAATGATGAGAATGACAGGACACAGAGCCACGTCTCAGAAATTACACGCTGGTCTAGAAATTGAGGAAATAATTAGAATTTCTGGAAGGCCAGGTTCAGGCATAGTCTCCAATAAACGAATGTTATGGAAGCCGTAATGGCTATAACCAACGTCACATGTCACATTTCTTGAAATTATACCACTTCCGCAATGCTGGAAGCAGTCATGCCAGGTAAAGCATGAAAGGTAGAAAACCTCCCACAGAATATTTAAACTTAGTGCCCTCCTGGGCGAGGTATCAGAAAGGGCTATCAATCGAATTCAAAGCATGAGATTAGACGGAGGTAGAGGCGCTCAGGATATTCAAAAACGTCACCAATGGATGTAACTGGAAAAAGCCAACTAGGAATAAGATCAATTAAGCCGGAAAGCACGCAAGCATTTGCAAATTGGTTCAGAACTACCTGGCAGCAAGCACGTCCACCTTGAAGCTTGTTACACACAATCGAATACCAAGAGAACTGGAAGCCGGTATTCCGCAAGAATCCGTGCTCGCATCAAAGCTGTACATCCATACTGACAAAATTTCCAGGAGGCAGTGAACGAAGTTTGCACTATACGCATTGGATTAACGAGATTCCCACTGTCCCTACCAACATTTTCGATGGCTTGGCTCGCTGGTGCAATTTTGTTAATTCCATCGAACTATCGTGTCTACCATCTCACGATAGGGGTAGGAGGGAGGAAATCTCGAACGATCCCAGTCTCTGGGCAGAGTTCCTGAGCCTCTTTCTAGAAAGATGGTAGCGGTACTGTACGTCTTCCGCAATAAGAGGGGAACTCATCGGACGATTCCAGGTTTCTGGCTGAACGTCCGATGAGCCCAGCTTCCGGCCAACGGTGGGCGTGCTTTACTTCGAACCGCAACTCGTCCGGCTTAAACGAAGACCCGGGCACGGCCGGAAGGTTGAAGAAACAATCCTAGTAATACCCATTGTCTCACTAGATGGCATGGGCGAAGGACCCCTAATGTCTACCCTATCCCAGATTTCTGAGCAACGGATAACTGGTGTGTTCCGAAAGCTAGTAGGGGAAGACCCCGAACCCGCACCTTGTCTGGGGAAAGGAACTTATACAGTAAGCCCTTTTAATACAAGAAACTACGGGCCGAGGAGACCATATTCCGGTTCCGGTAAAAATATATGCCTCTGTTGCTGATTCCAGGTTTCGTGGTTGAAAGGCACAAGTATGTATCAACCCACATGTGGTAGCATTTTCACGAAAGTGAGTGCGAATCGGTGACTCGTCAAACGTTGCTGGGGGAACCCGGCTAACACGAGTACCCAGGGGAAAGGCCAACCCAGCCAAGTCCAAAAAATTGGTGCCTTTCATAGGTGTTGGTTTCTGGGTGGCAGTCAAGGAATTAGCTGATAGTTCTGGTGGGCTGCCTTGGATGTGCTATAAACCGAAAGGTACAGAGCATAACGCCCTTGAGTGAATGTACGCCCAGAGAAAAGCCCAGGATGCGTCAGAGTGAAAAGGGAGAAATGTCTTGTCATAAGGTAGACCAACGTTTATGGTTTGAATGTTTGGGGACACGCAGCAAATACTTATCGGAGGTGACAAATTCTGGCATGTGATTCAGCTTTCAGCAAAACCTTGCCGAAGATAACCGATACTTCAATACAGGCTTGTCCTCATATTCCACGTTCCAATTTCTGAGCCTATACCTCGAAATTGTCTATTTTTTTTTTTGTAATGAGATTTTCTGTCTGTTGAAAAAGGACAGAAATCCTTGTTCTTAAGAGTTATTCTTCTCAGGAGCTATTTCAGTTGAGCGCTTTTTTGATTGACGCTCTTCTAATCGAGCGCTGTTTTTGATTCAGCTAAGTTTTTTTTTAACTCTTACCTTTTTCAAAATTTTGGATGAGGCATGACAATCCAAATCTAGAACAAACCATCCCTTTTTTGGAAAATCTAGTTCAAAAAAATTTCTGGAATTATGTACGCATTTATTGCTGTATCCATTGGACATAAGTTGCTTTGAAATTACCATAAGCTCTACGAAAAATTGTGAATTACGTATTCAAAAATATATTTTAATTTACAAAGTACTACCTTTTTTGTTACATCCAAAAACAGTGACGGGCAAACTTTTCCCCAAAATGCTCATAGTATCAATAAAAGGAGCAAAGCCATGAGTTTCAAATGTTTCAATAAATACAAAAGTTGCGCACAAGAGAACACCCTGCCAAAGCATATTTGGAAGTAATGAGCCGTTATTTGAGTTGCACTGGGCAATTTTTCAAATTATGGGGCATACATTTGTTCTGTAAATTTAGTGGATAAAAGTACACATTTGACCAGGTAAGTGTGTTTGAATTGTCGGTTTGATTTTTGAATAAATAAGAACTCAATGGTAGTAACTTGAAGAGAGTTTTACCATACCTACTATAGATTCTCAGATTGTTTTTTTCAAAATAAAACTTCAATATTTTCTATTGCATGTATTATTTATATAGGTAATGGGTATGTGATATAGAATTAAATTAACTACACAGAACTACTATTTTGTATGACGATGAGGAAAATTCAGAAAAGGGCGTGTTTACGACCAAAGTAGGTACTTCTACCATTTTTTCTCACGTTTTCTTATCGATATACAGTACATATTCAACGCATGTATTACAACAATTGATATTTGATATGTTTCTGATTTTGCTTTAAAATTTCCTGCTGCTCTTAACACTAATTACTGTTCCTTTAATCTTCGAATAAAACCTTTGCCAAATTTTTTCTACTAGAAATAGTAAAACACTCAGTAGCACCCCTCCAACCATAACTAAAAATTATCACACAAATTAAATAATGTAAATACATTTTGAGCTACCTACCCAAAAAAGCTCCATAGCTATCTGATAAGCCAACACTTTCAAAATTACCTCCCATTACATCACAGGTGGGTTTTGTAGCAAAAAGTCTTCTATATTCTCTGCTTTGAATGCCAGTTTCATGAATTTTGTGCATCCTTAAATTTGATGTTAGTTAGTTATTTGATATGTTTGATGTTTTTTACCCTGTCCTTAGTTTATCTTGATAGCTGGAATTTTTCTTCATAAACAACCAATAGTTGACGTGTGTGTTTTTAAACTTTATTTCTCTCAAGCTGCATTTTTCATTTTCATAGAACCAGTCATTGACATATTTGTAAATTTCATAAGTGTCTCCATAGAATGCAAAAAAGTCCTTCTGCACCCTTTTAATTCCTTGCTCGGTAGACATAAATTCAGGCTTGCTAATTTTCTTTACAAACTCTTTAGTTTTTTTCTGGTCGTGCTTTAACTCCTGAAAATTGAACTTTCATTACAAGAAAAATAAAAACATAAATAAATTACATTGAAATAATCCATAGTAATATTTTCCTTGAACCCAACGGGAATTCTGGATTGAAACAAGCTCTCCAACGTATTCAGGCTTTCAGTTGTCGACTGTAGTAGAGCCACAATACTGGCCGAAAATGACGTATACAAAAACATGAGCGAAATTAGCGTTAAAATAAACACGATCCTTCCAGAATTACTTCTGGGCTCTGATTCATATCCTTGTTGAGCTGCAGATCCGATTTCCATTAGAAATATATCTACTGCGGCAGGTCTAAAATTAATTATAGAAATACATATCAAATACCTATAAAAAAATTAATAACACAATAATTGTGAAGATTGAAAAGTCAATTGAGATGCCTAGACTGCTAACAAAAAATGTTTTGAAACATCAGGAATTTTGGCTCTGGGTCAGCTTAGAAACCTCCATTCAGCTTTATTTAACATATATTTTTAGATCTAGTTATCTTCTGCTTAAGGTAAATAAAGCATGCCTCTACAATTTTTGTCAAACCAATATCTTAACCTTCGTGGAACCTATAAAGATTTCCTTACAAGAAATTTAAATTTTGAGTTAGTTTTGGGAAGTTTGGGTTAGTTTAGGTTTCTCTTCAAGGAGCCGTGAGACCTGGTCGTTGGTGAAGTGAAGGGACCCAGCGACTGAATATTTATACTGGGCAGACGTTGCTGAGGACAGCTCATCCCCTATTTTCTTCGTTCCTATTGCGATTTCTCCTGATAAACTCTTCTTTGTCAGCGCCCGACGCTATTACAGTATTCAAGGGCTATGGCACCTTATTTTTGAATATTATCCTTCTTCCAAAACCAAAACATACTTATGATGGATGGATACCACGAGAAAAGGAAGGTTTACGGTACATACCGAGACTGCTCGTAACATTCTCTCTCCCAGATATTATCATAAGACGAGCACCAGCATACTCGTTTATTCTACGGATTAGCAAGCCAAAATAAACAAAAAACTAGGAATCATAAGAGTAGGTACTCGATTTTCATAGGCACGTGATAGACAATCACAAAACTAGGATCTGAACTGTAAAGGAGAAAAGAACAGGGCGGCCAGAGGGAGCCGAGCCAAACAGAATACTCGAGCAAAGCTGAAATCACAAACCGGCTCAAACAACATAGATTCGAACCCCTCTGATGAAACTAACTTTAACTGAACTACAAAGAAAAACAAATAAATAGGGAGCCAGACATGCCCAAGTCACGAGCATAGCGGCGATCCCTAGATCACTACGGGGACGCGTCAACACAGACTGAAGATACCGCGAGTCCAAATGAAAAAGAAATAGACACTCTAAATGATAAACAGACAGATAGACAAAGAGGATATCCTCTGCGGGGTCGCAAAGCAGGAACCGGAAGATTCGAGGCATTTGTAGACCTCGAGGGGTATATAGTGAAGGACTAGATATAACTAAGGAAGAAGTCCAACACGCCATTCAGTTATCCAAAAACAGAAAAGCTGCAGGTTCAGACGGTATTTACTCAGATTATTATTAAGATCTTAAAAAATGAGGAGTCACTACACGCAATAGTGAAGCTTATTTTCAGGCATCGAGGCTTTCTAGAAAGAAAATGCAGACTTTCCGAAAATAACCAGTCTGTCTAGTGCTATCTAAGTCCTTCTATATTAGCATTTGTGGAGTGGTTATCAAATCAATTTTTGGGTGAAGAGTCTGGAGGAAGAAGAGGTGGTGCTCTATGCAACAAAGACAAATTTAAAATATTTTTAAGATACGTGGGTGACCCGGGGTTTCAGGCAGGAGTAGGCGAGGATGTTGGTGTTTACCAAACTTCGGTGTCTAAAGTTGTATTGGAACGGAAGTAGCTGATAAGATAATTCAGCAAAGTGAACGATGGATTAAATTTTCCCGCAGTCCTGCGGATATAATATTATCCATTTATAGTTTGGCAAGTGGTAACTTGGTAGAGACGAAAGGGGGAAGAAAAGTTGGGCGTAACCTAAGAATATTCACTGACACCTCAACTGACACCGCTTGATGACAGCCATGTCTTTGGGTTCAGTGGCACCAAAAACACCAAGGAAATAAACCAAAAAATTATTAGGAAAAAAATTCTTGAGTTTCACGAATAACCACGCCACTGGTGCTGTCGTTCAGACTCTAACCAATAGAATCATGCCTCTAAATAATCACGCCTCTCCGCTTCCTTCATTTCGTAATGTTGCCGGATTTTTTCCTATTTCAAAATACTACACGGCCCATATTGCAAAAAAAATAGGTCACCAACTTGTTTATTATTGTTTCTGTCAAGTTTGGCATAGCAGCAAATTCTTTTTGAGTTCGCCGTTTGGCTAGCCAGACTATACAATCCAATGTCCACAGGTACAGGTAAAATTTATCACCTTTCAATGCTATTTGATAGGGAAAAGTGATAAATTTACCTATACCTGCGGACATCGGATTGTGAATAGGATATAGAGGCGAAAGAGCGGTGGCAAGCAAAATAAAATGTTGAGTATCTACTCTATGTACTAGGAGTATGTACTTATGACACCGAAATCTTTTTTATTCTTACGAAATGGAGTATAAGCTCAGACTTCATACTCATGCTCACGAGTATAGACTCCGAATTTAAATTCAGTTTTTATTCATACCACCCAATGGGTGGTATTAATAAACCTGAGTCTGAGCACGGAGTTAATGCTTGGAGTATGAAGGCAGAGTCTGAGCTTTTACTGTTGCTTGGTATAAATAAACACAAGCTGAGCATTCGCTCATTTTCTAGCTTGAACTCAAGTATCTTGAGGCATATGCTCACACGCACAGTACAGCGCGAAGTGGCATGGGGGTGTTTTGGATTCAGATAAAAAACATGTCTCAACCTGCAAAAAATGATGAATTAGGAATTTGGTGTAAAATAATACGGAATCTCTGTTCCAGTTGTTCAAAACACCTCTCAATGATGACCCTTTCTCTGCATGTTGTTGAATACTTGTTGTTCTGGATTACCAGGTGCTCTGAAAGGTGTTATAAGCCAGGGAGCGATGCCAAATGCTGAAGCGCCTAGGAAAAGGGCACGAAATTGATTTCTACTGATAACTGGATTTGAGAATTGGTCCAAATACGGGCATCGCCATCATAACCGGAGCCCGGCAAAGAGACATTCACGCATGTAAACATTTCTGAGCTGTTGCGAGAACATTGAGGCTGAGAAATCCTTTTTGGTTGATATAGGTTTTCGTCTCTATGGAAAGCAGGCTTTAAAATGGGGATATGAGTGCAATCTATTGCTTCTATTATTGCACAAGGGAAATTGTATGACTCTTGCCATGCAGCCATTTCTCTCTCAAATTCTTCATCAGTAAAAGGAAAATGGTTCCAAATCAAATTTTTGTATTATTCTTAATAACATTCTGCTATGACATTTGAGACAGTTGGTTGGCGAACTCCTATATCTGTAGCAACGTCATTCTGAATACTAGTATCCGCCACATACTTTAGAATTTTTTTAAAACGTTGTAGTTGGCGTGGGAGCTCCTCCTCTCCTTTCCTCTGAATGATGTGTTCACACATTCATTTAACATCTCAAAGTGATGTAACACTTCCCGGTCTCGATCGTCCAGGCCTCTACGAACTCAAATATACTTTAGGATTGCGTAAATTATTTATAAATTCGGCCATGATGTCACTCTCTTCCTAAGTTGAGTTTGCTACTAACTAGACTCAAGTGGAATATACCAGATGCTCCAGACTTGAAGCAAAAACTTTTTTATTAATATCTACTAGAGCAAATGCTCACAAACTAGAGTCAACCGAGTTTGAGCGAAAGTTTAACTTTATTTATTAATACCAGTTGCAGCATAATATACTTCGAATACTTTGAGTCGATAGTTTGGGTTAGTTCTAGTCAGTAAGTAAATATTTGGTTTAAGGTCTTTGTATGAGTTGGATTTTTATGAGGTCGCTCTCATTCCTAATTCGTATAGGTTCTTCATTTTAATTTTTTTTTTAAAATATATATTCTTCTATAATATACATAGGCAGCTCTAAAATTATAATTTTTTTTTGACATCTCTTGACTTTTTAAATAACTGCTGATTAAGCCTTGTAAAGTCATCATTGAAATATATCCTTGTTTTCTCCAACTAGTACTCACTCATTCACCTCAATGCCTTCCAGCTGTTTAACTTTAAGTTGTACTTTCTGCTTTGCCACCTTTTCTTTAAACTTGACAACAATGGGTGCATTTCCTTTTTTGGACATATTATGTATTGTGGGTTTCTTGAATATCGTTAAGATTTACATCCACATTCATGACACCAAGTAGTTTTTGAACTAATGTCTCTGGTTTTTCATTTTGATTGGGTATTCCAGATACCTATAATTAGATTTTTTTCTTTGTCTTGTTGTTCATTTTGGTTTATTTTATCTTCTATTTCATGCCCTTTCACCTGCAGTTTCTGGTTGTGGTCTTTTAGGTTCTTGACTTTTGGTGTAAGTGTTTCGATAAGCTTCTTCTGCTCATCGAAGCCATCGGACATGAATTTCTGAAAGTTCTGATTCCATTAGTTTTTTGAATGGCACATAATATTTATTGAATAATAGACCTATCTATTTTACCAGACAAAGAGGTAATAATACGAAAACTTTATTGAATAGAAAAAGACGCAGAACGCTTATTGCGCAAGACGAGGCGAAACGTACCAAATTATGTTAGACTTACGTATAGCAATCCGTTCTTAATATTTGCACGGGATAAAAAAGGAAAAAGGAAAACCGCGTGACGTGCAACGTATTTGTCAATCAAAAACACAAACAATTGAAAAGCGATCACTTGTCAAGCTACGTCAAGTTGAATATCAAGCATAATATTATCCTTGTCAGACGACGGGCAATCAACAAGGACAATGAGATGCCCAGCGTGCAAAAGGATTACTTCACACCTGTACTAGTTAGCCAATAAAAATGCATTGCCTCGTGTTGCGCGCGCATACAGGTAAAAATAGATAGGTCTATTTTTTCACTGCGATTTTTATCTTCTTTTCCTCCATGTTCTGGTTCTTATAATAATTCAATCATGTTCAATGTATTGCCTGAATTAAGCACCTTTGCCTGAGCAGCACAACTTGGATGATAATTTGATCCGCACTTTTCTACTACATTTTTTTGCAGTGTTTGCACTATTTTGTGGTTTCTTCAGGAGCCTTATAGGGCAATCCAAACAAAATGGCGGCCAATGCCAAAAAATTGGCGCCATAAATTTGTGACATTTTTCATCAAAAACTGTTTTTTAGGTATTTTGTGGTGTTTTAAGATGATTTTCTAGTGCCTTGAAGGATAATTTTCGTATTTTAAG